TGAACCCATTTTTTCCAATTTCAATAGGGCTCATCCCTGGGTCAAATAAGTGACATATGCCATAAATCGACTCAGAAAGTGATTCTATGCATATTCTCAAAAGGAACCATGTGTCTATCTCGTTTCTTTTTGCCTGTTACAAACATATGCACAATGCTATAATACCCTGTACCACAGTGTGGTGAAGGGTATAAAAAGAGAGGCCATTAAATCCCGAAAAATTCCATTTTTGACGCGCTCTTTGGTCCGAAGCTGTGATTGGACTTTACTTCTCCTACCACAAATAGCGTGGTTATGCAGACAAACCGTCAACTCTTGAGCCAATTAAAAACCAACATTCGGCAAGTTATGACTCAAATACTCGTACCTCTAAAAAAAGTGGTCGGAAATTACCACAAATAAATCAATACTTGCAATAGTTCGGCTGAAGGTCACTTAAATAATGTTTTGCTTCACAATTAATGTCGACGTTTCAACTTTACAATAAACAAGCTAAAATGCTATTTAGTTCTGGCAAAAAATCTCCAAAATACGAATATTTTGTGATTAAAACAGTCAAACTTCGCTAAATCGACATCGAATTTTATTTGGATCAAGAATATATACTTTATGGAGCCTCCTTATGACGGAGGGTATAATTTCCAATAGCTAATTTTTTTAAACGGATTTTAAGATAATAAATTGGTTGGGGAACTTTTGGATAAACACGTTATAACATTCATAATTAAAAACGACCTGCTTATAACGATGTTACTCAAAGATTGGCCGATAATTATAATTATTGGCAAAAATGTTTGAATTCAATGTGGAAAAATTTCTCAATTACTCAAAATAACAAAATTTAAATGTGTATCATTATATGGTTCATGTACCGATATCAAATTAAAGCCAATTGGATTGAAAAGCGTGCTTAAATACCCCCAGAATACCGAATGTCCTTTTATCTGTCCTTTTGGCTGATTTGACCGCTCATCATTTAAAAATCAGACCGCCTTCACCGTGTAATGTTCTGCATATAATAATGATCTATAGAGCGACTAGAAAATCGGACACAAAATAATGTTTTCGGTTTATGGCACACTCTAAATATCGTATCAACATCACCGAATATTATAATTGTCGTCCTTAACAATGCCGGAACTTCATGTACAATTTTAAAGCGATTAGCGCGACCTTTCCGACCTCTAGAGGGGTAGTAGTAATACTAAACAATACCATAACATAACACACCTTTCAATATTTACGTATACTGTTATGCTTATTATTTGGCCCAATTTCTTTCCTGGCGTTAAATGGAAATGAACCATTTCATCGCCTAGATATTTATCGATCATTACCAAAACAATGAGGTCTCCTTTGCCCAGAACCCGTCCTACATGCAAAATTTCGTGACGGTTGATCCATAATAGTGGCGTGTATCGTGTTTTCAAACTATAATGGGCAGACTGATGACGATCGGTTTACTTAAAGATAGGACTAGGACCAATATTTCGTGACATTACAAACTCCTGGGGCTGCACAAAACAATAATTCCATGACAGCATAGTTGTGTAGGGAATAAATACAGTGAGTGTAATAAGTATTTTGCCTCAATAAAAATTTGAAAAAATTCCAATATATACGCCTAACGCCAGCAAACTAAAGATGTAAAATGAATTATGTGTGATGGAATATGTTTGTGGACATATTTAGATCGTATTTCTGCAAGAATCATTGCGATAGACCTATTGGTCTCGAAGATATCGGCCGAAATCTATAACAACCCAAAAATGTTTATCACAAAAAAGTATTTTGCTTTTTAATATTATTTTAGAAAAAATATTACATAAAACACGTTTGGTCCTTTTATAGTTGCAATTGCGGTTAACCACATACTATAAGCGGTTTGTCGATGATTCCAATACATCACGGCATTTTTTCGTAGATATTTTCTCACATTTACATTCAATACATTATCCATCAGTATTTCATTTAATATTTGGTATTTTCTCGTCCTAATCTTAAGATAAGAGTATTAAACATAGTCATTGCGGCTTCAAAACATCCCAAATATGTTTAGAATAATAAAAAAGAGGGTTTGCAAAATATAACGCGAGGACAGAACCTTAAAAACTATTAAAACCAAAATCCGACAAACAAATTATTGAAAAAAAAATCGCGAAACCCAATTTTTTTGACTTTGAAATTTGTATGGTCCAGTAATATTGATCTAGGAACCAATATATGCAATGGAAATACCAATAAGGAGGTCAGATTCAAAGATATGAACAGTTCTAAAGCAATAGTAATAAAAAACAATACATGAAGTTGGGAGAAAACATCATTATTCGTCAAATCATATTGTCTTTTGAAAAACTGTGGTTGCTGGTGGCGAATACGCATTCTATATTTTATCTCCGATTAACACCATCAGTTGCGAATAAAATGCAGTAGGGAATAAACGGTTCGATCTATTTATTTTCGAAATAAGATGTATTTCTATTGCCAGAAAACCGTCCATATTTTTGAATCTGACCTCCTTATTGCTATTTTCATAGTATATTTTGGTTCCTAGATCAGTAATAATGAACCATAAAGTTTTCGAAGTTAGAAAAATGGGGTTTCGCGATATTTTTTAAATAATTTATTTGTCGGATTTTGGTTTTAATAGTTTTTAAGGTCCTGTCCTCGCGATATATTTTGTAAAACCTCCTTTTTATTATTCTTAACATATTTGGGATGTTTTGAAGCCGCGACGACTATATTTAATACTCTGATTTTTAAATGTTGGACGAGAAATTACGAAATATTAAATGAAATATTGCTGGAGAATGTATTGAACGTAAATGTGAGAAAATACTCGCGAAAAAATGCCGTGGTTTATTGGAATCGTTGCCAAATCACTTATAGTATGTCGTTACCCGCAATGGTAACTATAAAAAGACCAAACGTGTTCTATGTTACAATTTTTTCTAAAATAATAATAAAAAGCAAAATACTTTTTTGTGATAAAAATTTTTGGATTGTTATATATTTCGGCCGATATCTTCGAGATCAATAGGTCTTACGCTGTGATTCTTGCAGAAATACGATCTAAATATGTCCACAAACATACTCCATCATACATAATTCATTTTACATCTTTAGTTTGCTGGCTTTAGGCGTATATATTGGAATTTTTTCAAATTTTTATTGAGGCAAAATACTTATTACACTCACTGTATCTATTTTACCGAATGTGCTCTATATGTTTTCAATTTCTCATGCCTTAGAGTGTGAAAAGATATTCATCTAAATTTCTTACTCAACATGAAGTCTGATATAGCGAACAATTCTGCAGCATTAACTCAAAAATCTGGAATTTTGATTTATATCGGCCTTGCTTTAAATGAGCGATATGAGGGATATCCTGAAAAATGTGCCAATATTGATCTTTTTTGTTGGAAAGATGTTCTACCCAATGAGAAAAAAAGCTCTATCGTCATTTCAACAGGCGGACATAGATATAGAATTTTTTTGGATCAAAATGTGTTGCAAACGGAATGACATATGTGTATAATAATTCTTGGTGAACGGTAAACAAATAACAAAAATCGAAAAGAAAGTAGTTACTCTTAAATAACTTTAACAATTTGTAACTATATTCCCTCTACTGTAAAGCCACTCTTGCTTGCCTTCCAACTACATAAAAAAATCTGTCACATTTTATATGAAGAAAAAAAACACACACACATCGACATAACGATACATGTTGCAATTTTATGCTACTGCATTAAAAAAAGATTTAACGTCAGCATTCAAAACATAACAAACAAACCATGAACACCGCCACCATCCAGGAAAGAACTACTACCTCTGTAAAAAAAATACTACTATCTACTGTTGTCATGCCGCTATGACAAACCAAAAATCGAATAAAAATTAAACAAAATCTGGTGGTAGTAAGTGCCACAAAGCTTGAAGCACTTATAATGAAGCTAATACACACACAAAATTTGTAAATCATGCGGAGGTACGACGCCAAAAAACAAAAATAAAATTCGCAATAAACTTATCATACGGCGCTAAAATGAAGAAGAAATAATGGCGTCTGTAAATGACATGTATAGGCAGAGAGGCGGAGTTATGTGAGAAGCAATAAATTGCGAACACCATCATACCATACGAGGAACAGCAACAAATGTGAATGGGTGGTGTATGGCATTAGAATGGTGGTAGTGTTGTTTTTGTCGCTGTTCTTGTTTGCTCGTGAGTGGGTTTGTTTCATGTGTTGTTAAGGTGTGAATGAAATAGCATGCATTGTAGTGTTTGTTTATCTACTACATTCGTCTGTTCAGTCAGTCACTCGTATCGGTTGCGTTTCAATGATTATGAATCAGTTGTGAATTGCCCTCACGCGGGACGACAAACCTGAGTTGTTAAATGTGCGCACGTCGAAATTTTCCAAATAGAAACGATCTTCATTCATTCGTTTTTCCGTTAGAAAAATAAAACAAATAGACAATTATTCAGCGGGGTTTTGAATGGTTTACATTACGTTTATATGGAATGGAAAGAAATTTTAAATTTGTTACAATCAATTGCGGATTAATTCGGAAATCGTTGAAGACACCATAAATCGCCTAATAAGCGACGGAGTTGAATTTTAATTTTGCAAAACTGAAACAAAATCAAAAATTTTGTAACTAAAAACTTGTGGATATTTTGGTTACAAAAGTATAAGGCCTATAATAGTATATACACACAAAAACAAAACAAACAAAAAAATATGTGCCAATTATAAAGTGAAAAAAAATTCTCCAATCAAAGTGAAATAAAAAATACAATCAAAATACAACAACAACAAATCAAACTCCTCGGAAAGAAAAACAAAAACAAAGTGTTAATCAAAAAAGTTAAAGCAATAACAATCAAAAGTGATCGTCTGATAAGTGACTCCCCACTCACACCTGTAATACGCAACAAAGAAGCCGTAAAAAGCTCTCTCCCCGTCACTCTCTCCTCTTGGTTGTTTAGCAAACATGATGGACGTAACCAGCATGTACGGCAATCATCATCCTCATCACACCAACACCTATCATGCAGCTGGAGCTGTGGCTCCTGATATGACCACTGTGGCTGCTGCAGCCGCCGCTAATGGCTATACGAATGCCTATTTTCCCAATACCACGGTTATGGGTGGTCATGCTGGCATGATGCATCCTCATCATCAACAGCCACATGCCCTGAACAGTGGTTATATATCTTATGATGGCAGCTCTCCAAATTATTATCAGCAGCAGCAACAACAACAACAGCACCATCAAACACAACAACAAACTCCACCACTGCATCAACAACATGGCCAACCATCACAATTAACCCCACCACCCAGTCAACCGTCCGCTGGCCATCACAGCCAAGCTTCTTCTTTGTATGCCAGCCACTCGCACTCGCATCTCTTTAGCCCCACTGCTGCAGAATATGGCATTACCACATCGAATACCTTAAATGCCGCCACACCCACTCATCCCTCCACCCATGCCAGTCAATCGCCCTCGGAAGCCGTCTATTATGATAATGATTCGGTACATGCCTACTATGCCACAGTACCACCGGCCAGTACAAATTCTCCCATTACTCCGGCCAATACCACCGGTGCTACACAGCCTGCACAAAATGTTAGCAACGATCCACCAATTATCAGCTCGGAGAATGGTCTCAGCTATACCAATTTGGATTGCCTTTATAATCAAAATTCACCCCATCAACAGGTCAACTATATGGCGGCAGAGGAAAAATATGCCTCAGTTTTACATTCCCAATATAGTCTGGATGATAATCTGATGCATATGAATAGCCAACAAACAGCCTCCAACGCAGTCAATCAACAACATTCTCCCCAGCTATGGCATCATCCACATCAGCATCCCATGGCGGCTGGTGGTTATGGTCATGGTTTGGATGCAAATGGTTTGCCCTTAGATAGCTATCAAATGCATTCACATTTACATGGCCACAATATGGCAGGACAACAACATTTATCCTCCGCATCTGCAACAGCTTCTCACCATCATATGGCTGGCCAATTGGCTGCTGGTGGTATGGTCAACCATCAAACAGGACTAATGCAACAACATGCATCACCAAATAGCATTGGCTCCAACGCTTGTATGGCCAATAATTCACGTAACCAACATGTGGTATCTCCCGGTGGAACAACCAGCACCACATCAACAGCTTCAACAAATACCTCTGCTTCATCATCGTCGTCATCAACAGCATCAGCAGCGTCTTCATCATCAACAGCATCATCGGCGAATGGTTCCGCCAATAGTTCGGCGGCCGGACAAGCCAAATCACCAAATCAAACGGGAAATTTACCCACCTACAAATGGATGCAATTGAAACGGAATGTACCCAAACCACAAGGTAAGTTCCAAGAGATAATTTTTTATGAAACTATGGAATTTAATTACTGTATAAAATCGAAGAGCTATGATATACAAAAATATATCAAAACATCAAAATTTATCATAATGAGTCGAACTTGAGTTTACGTTCCACGAAAGGTTTTTATCTTCATACAGAAACGCACCATTCCGAGTGCTGTGACAAGTATATTTTGTTTGATCCAATTTTGAGTTTTTGCAATGATCAAAGATGAGAATGATCACATTTTGAAGATCTGCATATTCTACTTATTGGGGTCTACCTTACAATGTCTTCTTTTATTGTCCTATAAAATTTTCACGAGGACTATGGAACTATAACTTAAACGGATGTCTTCCTTTAGAACGAGCTAAGGCTCCTATATATTCTTAATCCAAGGAGTAGAAGCCTTTCTCGTTACCTCGATATAATTTATTTCCATGCCATTAGCTCCAATAACCAGACCATTATCCCTTCCTTCGGGATAGAATTCAGTTTCAAAGTATTGTAAATATATACTTTATCAGGAACGGCAGACGGAGCTATGAAGTTGATGTGGATTTGGATACGAATAATTTTATGTCCGATAATTTTTTCCAATAATATTCGTTAAACCACTTCGAACAAAAATACTACATTACAATCACTGGCTAAAATATTCAGAGTTGCATTGTTTCGAAAAATAAAATTAATTCAAAAGAATCAATCCCCAAAAGGAACGATCGGTTCCGAATCTTTCTTTCATCTACACTTTTTTGCTACAGTCATTCATTTTCACTGTCATTCACGTAGATCTTTCAGTTTCTCCCCGTTATCGACCATTAGTTCGTTGTCGTGTACCAATTAACGATTCAACTAACAGGAACTATGGAACTGATAGAGTGGCCTAGTTTCTTTTTTGAAATTTTAGGAACAATCTTGTCTCATTCTACAAATCATTTCCTAAAATTGGGATAAAGAAATATTGAATTGCGGTTACATGATTTAATAGTTAGAGCTATGTCGTTCCGAAATGAACTAGTCTAAAGCAACTATTCCGCAAAAGGAATGCTCAGAACTAGGTCCATTCGGCCACCTCGTCCCTTTTTCCAATAATTCATTTTTCACTATTTCACCAGTGTTCTATTTCTTCCAATCGTTCATTTAGGTATTTCTGTTTATTGGTCGAATAACTATGGAAAAAACGAAATGAACTAGTTCCTTTTGCCAAGCAAACCGAACAGGAATGGTGATTGCCTTGCTCTGTAAATATTTGTATAAAATCTTTCTGAAAATTGTTCGGTTCTGTAACCAAAACAACTATTCAGCGAAAAAAATGATCAGAACTAGGTTCGGAGAATTCGGTAACCTCGTTCCTTTTTTGCAATAATTCATTTTTTCACTCTTTCATCAGAGTTATTTTTCTTCCAATCGTTCATTTAGACCTTTCTGTTTATTGGTTGAATAAACAGACGTATACAAATGAACTACGGAACGAACGGAATGAACTAGTTCCTTTTGCGAACCGAAGCAGGAATGACGATTGCCTTGATCTATAAATATTTGCGTAAAATCTTACCGAAAATTGTCCGATTCTGTAAATAACTGGACATTAGAAATACTAAATGAAATATTTAAAGTGGAATTGTTCCGAAAAGAACTAGTTCCAAAGAACTTTTCCGCATAAGGAACGAACGTACTAGGTTCAATCATTAATTTTTATTCTCGTTCACCTGAGTTATTTTTATTCCAATTGTTCATTAAAATATTCAAATTTTTGGATTGAATTTACTGACGTGTATACATGAACGATGGAACTGAAAAGGACAATCGAGTTAATCGATGAAACTAGTTCCCTTTGTGGAGCGAACCGTTAAATATTGAACCACTTTAGGAAGAAGATTTCCTAATTCTACAAATATTATAATAAAGTCTAAAAATATCATATATGAAAGAATACTGTTATGTGACCCAAAATTTAAAATTTTCAGTTTAGAGTTTTGGTTCAGAGCAAGCGTTTTATGTCAGCTTTTCAGTTTCAGTTTTTCCAGTGCTTAAAACACTTCTAAAATTCACTTTTTCGTATAGCTAAGTACCAGAAAAACTAAATTGCAGCCATGACTTGGATCGTTCCAAAAGAAGCTGGTGTAATGTAACTATTTCGCAAACTGCACGAACGGTTCTAGGCACCGGACGTAGAACCGATATAGTTCCCTTTGTGTCAATCACTTTTGTTCTGGATCACTTTATTCTGCAAAAGAACGATGGGTACTAGGTCAGATTATTTTATTCATCTAGTTCATTTTATTTCAGTCCATTATTTCTACTCATATCTAGATCTTCCTGTTCATTGGCCGATTTAAGTAATGTGGAACCGTGACCGGAAGTAACAATCGAACTAAATGAGCTATATTTCGGTCGTATGGACTCTTGAGGGCGCTTCCCTTGAGATTTATGGTTTATTTTTCAAAGTCACGCACAAGATTCGAACCAGTTATGACCTTCAGAAGCAATTTCTTTGCCGCATGTTTTATGCCTAAAACATCCATAAAAATTATTTGGTATGAGCCGATATTGATTCGACGTTTATAGCCCCTAATCCGTTTAAAAATGCGACCTTTTTATCTATCAAATATTAATATGCAAAAATCGAACATACTAAATTCATGAAATAGGTTCAGGTCCAAAAATATTGAAAGTTTATATTGACATTTTTATTTTTTTAATATAATATGCTATACTTTTTAGTACAATTATTCACCAATTAAGAGACTTTCTAATTGACTTTTTCTAGAAGGGAAATAGAGAAGATCGAATTGATCTTCTACCTTCAATAAATTACGAACAGGTTCCTTCGTAATTCCAAAGCAAATAACACATACATAAACAAATTATACAAACTTATCAAATTTTTCCAGCTTACAGCGCAATACAAAATTCTTCTTTATCTGGGAGTGCATCTGGTGACGGTTCTCCAAATGCCAGAGACATATTTATATCTACACAAGGCCTGCTGTGTATTAATATTATCCTGCCAATGTCGATCTTTTTCTTCTGTTTCACGTTTGTCATGTCGTAACTGAAAAGTGTCATTACTACATTACTCCCATATCAAAAAAGAAAAAGAAGGAGGAGAAGAAGAAAATAAAACAGAGATGTCATCCTACTGATATTTCAATATTCTTCTTCTTTGGCAAATGTCATCCAGCAGGCAGTTAACCAGTCAGCCAACCAACCAAACAGACGCCATCGTCAATGAATGAAAAACAGCAAAAACAACAACAAAGGCAATAAGTATTGAATTTATACTGTTGTTGTTGTGGTTGGGTTTTCTTATTCATCTCTTTTTTTTGAGATTGGAATTAACCATTGTAGTCATTTACATTTTTTTTATTTAATTTTTGTTGTTGTTGTAGTTCTTGTTGCCGTGGCTATAAACCGAAATCCATGAGTCAAACAAGCCAAGTCAAACAAAACAAATAAACAATTTAAAAATTGTTACTGATCTGGAAGTCAAGTTGGCTGTCAGAAAAAATTATTATTGAAATGCCAACACAATACAACAAAAACCAACAACAACAACCAAAAAATGCTACAACATCAGAAGCAGCATTTGGTGGAGAGTATGTAAATGAATAACTTACTACTCTTGAAGCTGAATGCCAGCCACTCAGTCCGTTCGCTGTTCTGGGGGCTACATTCACATTGCCTTGCCATTTTTTTATAATTTTTACAACGTTCGACGGATTGTCCGTCCATGGCAAGATCGTGCGTATAACCACTTACAGATTATGCGTAAGACTAATTATTTCAAGTACAGTGGGACAAAACTAAAACTGTTATAATATTTATAAACTAGTAATATAAAAAAACGGATTTGTGTTGGACGAAATGTGTTCTCCCCAAGAACATTGACTTTAATGGGGATCTTGGAGCCCCATATAGAATTTTTGGTTTTGTAATGCGGTGTGTTCATACCTCTTAGCTTAGGATTTTGAAAAGTCATTACCACTGTATTTGATGAGAGAGGGAGACTTTTTATGTTCTCCCTAGCCATTGATGAAGTCAGTCATTTTCAAATTTGAACATCGATGGTCTTGGTAATACAACATTCTTATTTTTTTCGTATTGTTTTCAATTTTTTTTCTTTTTATTTTCGCTCGTTTGGTGTCTGGCTGTGCACATGCTTGTACGCTTCATCTGTCATGTCATTGCCCATTTGGATACAAATGATGAAAAGAAGCTATAGTATTGAAAATTGTTGGTTGTAGTCGATTTTTTGTTGTTGATGTTGTTGTAATTCTCAAGCCACAGTTGTAGCATTGAGTAGTGTTTTGCGATCAAGTTTTGAATTAAAAGCAGGAAAAGAAGTTTTGAAATAATCAGTTATCATGATCGCATCACAATGTGGTAGCATTGGAGAATATGTATTGGCATGCGTGTTCGATTATTACAGCCCCAGTAAAATGTTTTCGAATCAGCTGCAGCAGAAGCAATGCGGCTTGGTTAATATAAGACAGCAAACACTGGCAATGAAATGGCCAGGACAGTGGGTAAGAAAGATCCTTATACAGTCCTTCAAAAAAAGGAAAATAAGGTTCTCTATAAGAAGAGAATCGAAGAAATTAAATCTACTGTATGTAGGTGATGGCTTTCACAGAATTTCTATGAAAATAACCTTGAGACTACTATAAGATAACCTCCTGGTCATATATATGGAGACCACTTAATAGACTAAACGAGAACCTCCTGGTCTTCTCAACGGGGACCGCCTGTGCTGGTCTTTTATATGAAAATCTCCAGGTCTTTCATAAGAAGTCATCCTGATCTGCTATAAGAATATCTACAGGGCTACTTACTATTGGAAAACCACTCTCTCTTCTTCAGATAATCTTCGAGATTCTTCAGATAATCTCTATAAGAAGTCCTTCAGATTATATTTTGAAAATATTTATGAATACCTACTTCAAGTAATCTATTCATCGTATTCTGGTCTTCTAAATGAAGCGCATTCTGACATA